TTGCAAAACCCTCCTTTGCCAGCTTTGCAGGAGCAATAAGCACATAAAACATGTGCATTCTCAGTTGATAAAAACAGCTTAATTTATGGAATTGTGTTTTTGTATATGAGGCACTGCAAGTGCACTGCTCTAATATAAAAATATTCAGGGTGGAGAGATTTTGACCACTGCAGTGTAGCCTATTCTTCCAAAAATCTCCACAAACAAATTGATTTCTATGAATTCATAATGAAAATTCACCACTAACCCTTTCACATTTAGTTTGAATACTATAAAGCTCTTTGTATTCAACATGAAAACTGACCTCTGTATACAGGCAGCGAGCTTTAGTAAGTATAGTTTTTTTTTAAGGAATCACCACGACAGGAAAGCCAAAGTTCTTCAACACGATACGATGAAAGCTCATTCAGTTTGAGCTCACATCCTGGCCGATATCTTCAGCAGCAATTTCAGCCTCTGTTTATTCAGACATCCAAATAAAAACGACAATAACAGTGAATGTCTTGCCAGTCAAGAGAGAGAGACGTAAAAGCTTCTATCGCATCAAAHGTTATGTAAACAAGCAGACATTTCAGCGACGGAAAAAAGATCGAAAATTCAATGGCGATTATTGTAAGAGAACAAAAACATCATCTTTAAGCCATACATGTGAATGAAATAGTTATTATGATCTCTATTATAAGCAAAATAGTCCAGTTACCTGGCTTTGAGTGGTTTTTCTCGTCCATAATTGTTGCGATTACGGCGGGACGATCCGCCGAGAAAAACTGAAAAATTCTACTAAAACTTCTATAAATGAAAAAATAAGCTACCTAGAGTGAATAAGAATAGATATTTAAATTGGAAAATGGTTTTAACGGTATCTAAAGGACCTAAAGAATTGAAAAAAGCGACTATGAAAGACGATATCAAAGCGAAGACACTTGCACTTAGCGACGTAATATTTTTGTTTGTTTACATATTAAGCCTCGTTTCTATGCAGCGCGCGCTTCCGTGCCCTGGGTTTGTCATTCGGTCTATTGCTGTTTTAAGATCCTAATAATATATTAAATTAAACATTCGATCAATATCAGTTATTGCATATAAGCTATAGATAAGACTATTATATTCTAATTGTATATATTATATTAATTATTCTAATGTAGGAGAGCTTCCATTCTTAAAGAAACCAGGAGGGATGCCATCAAAGTATTGGCAGTAGAGTAGAGGTGGCACCAACGGAAATGRACTGAGGCGCAATTGATCTCTCAGAACAAGAACTCTATTTTTAATCGGGACAATGGTAGAACACTACCCGAGTGCTGTTCATCAGTAATTGAGTCATAGATATATCTATAATTATTTTACTATTATTAATTAGTWTATTTCATCTTTTCTACTTATATTAGAGCTAATAAACTTTATTAWCAATTCTCTCAAAATAAATATGTTYTAWTATAATAGGTCAACGTWTATCTAAACTTATGTCTTTTCTACTTATATTTACTTTATATTTTTCTTTCGTATTAATTCAATTATTTGTATCAGGGGCGCGTATAGTGTTTCTTTTTTGGTCTTATTTTTTGTCTTGTAAACTATGCTATTGGTTAGTAAACAATTTTTAAATTGTAAATATTAAAATATTTCTTTTCCCTGAAGATGTGCCAAAGGCACGTAAGATTGGCTTAATAAACCAATCAATACGTGGTCATGATACTTAGTTTTAGTTAATATGGTTSTTCCCACGTACCACACTATTCTATAGGTTACAATCATGTTAATGAGATTATCTAATATAGTGAATAGTCAAAGTGTAATTACTGTCTTAAAGCATAAGCAAGTTTAAAATACATTTGGAGCACATTACTTACCGATATTGTGATAGGACTTTGCTTCCAGCTGTCTGTTTCCAATCTCATTAGCAATTTTCAGGCTTTCATCATAACATGCACTTGCCTTGTGATGTTCACCTAATAATCGATAGGCACTTCCTAAATTTCCATGAGCAACTCCTTCTCCTTGTCTGTCTCCAATCTCTTTAGCAATACTCAGTGTCTTTTCAAAATGCTCAATTGCCTTGTAATATTCTCCTAATATTCCATAGGAATTCCCTAAATTTCCGTAAGCAGCTCCTTCTGCTTCTTTGTCACCAATCTCTTTAGCAGTGCTTAGGCTCTTTTCTTGATATTCAATCGTCTTGTGATATTCTCCTAATGATTTATAGGAAATCCCTAAATTTGCATAAGTAGCTCCTTCTCCTTGTYTGTCACCAATGTCCTTAGCAATGCTAAGGCTGATTTCGTGGTATTCAATCGCCTTGCGATATTCTCCAAATGATTGATACGCATTCCCTAAATTTCCAYAAGTAGCTCTTTCTCCTTGTCTGTCTCCGATCTCTTTAGCAATTTTTAGACTCTTTTCAAGATTWTCAATCGCCTTGTGGTATTCTCCTAATGAAAGATAGGCTTTTCCTAAATTTCCATAGCTACCTCCCTCTCCTTTTCTGTCACCAATCTCTCTAGCAATCTTCATTCTCTTTTCATGATACTCAATCGCCTTGCGATATTCCCCTGATAATTGATAGGCATTCCCTAAAATTCCATAAACATTTCCTTCTCCTTGTCTGTCACCAATCCCTTTAGCAATATKCAGACTCTTTTCATGATATTCACTAGCCTTGTGAATCTCTCCTAATGATCGCCAGGCATTTCCTAAATTTCCATAAGCATTTCCTTCTCCTTGTTTGTCACCAATATCTTTAGCAATCCTCAGTCTCTTTTCATGATATTCAATCGACTTTCGATATTCACCTAATGCATTAAAGGCTATCCCCAAATTTCCATAAGCATCTCCTTCTCCTTTTCTGTCACCAATGTCTTTAGAAAGTCTTAGGCTCTTTTCATGATATTTAATGGCCTTGGAATATTCTCCTAATGAATGGTAGGCAATTCCTAAATTTCCATAAGAAATTACTTTTCCTTGAATGTTWCCGATATTGTTATCAATTTCCAGTCTCTTTTCGTGATATTCAATCGCCTTGTGATATTCTCCTAATGATCTATAAGCATTCCCTAAATTCCCATAAGTRGCTCCTTCTCCCTGTTTGTCACCAATCTCTTTAGAAATGTTYAGGATTTTTTCATAGTAGCCAACYGMCTTGCGATATTCTCCTAATGAATTGTAGGCATTCCCTAAATTTCCATAAGCATATCCTTCTCCTTGTCTGTCACCAATCTCTTTAGCAATGCTTTGGCTCTTTTCATAGTATCCAATCGCCTTGTGATATTCTCCTAATGATCGATAGACATTCCCTATRTTTCCATAAGCATCTCCTTCTCCTTGTCTRTCRCCAATCTCTTTAGCAATGCTTAGGCTCTTTTCATGGTATTCAATCGCCTTGTTATATTGTCCTACAGAATTATAGGAAAGCCCTAAATTTTCATAAGTAACTCTTTCTGCTTTTCTGTGGCAAATCTCTTTAGCAACACTTAGGCTCTTTTCGAAGTATTCAATCGCCTTGTGATTTTGTCCTGATGAACGATAGACACTCCCTAAATTTCCATAAGTAGCTCCTTCTCCTCGTTTGTTCTCTTCGGCTTTAGCTATGCTCAGTTTCTTTTCATAGTACTCAATCGCCTTGCGATATTCTTCAGATAAAGAATAGTCATTYCCTGAATTCCCACAAGTGGCTAATTCTCTTGGCATGTCTGTCACCAACAATATTCACCTGTGATGGGTAGATCGAAGAATGAGATGTATTTAAAAAACATGACAGAAAAAAACGTTTTTAGTATAGTAAATTGTGATGGTGATGATAATTCATTGTCGATATCGTTAAGGTGTTACGGATGCACATAAATTATTAAATTCAAAATTTCAAGTTCAATGTTTTCATTTTATAGATTTTTTGTGTCCACGGTATACTTGTCTAACAATCTTCGAGTTGTGTCGGCATTGGCGGCTTGATTCAAGTCTGATAGCGGTCCAAGTAATCGTGGCATATCGATTGTGCGGATTTTGCCTTTAAACACAATTAATTGCGCGGGAAAATATCAGTCAAATCTCGAGGCTTTGTGTTCGCTTGAAGTACAGTAATGTTCAATGAAACATTGCATGGAAATAAACAGATATCTAAGTTACAATCCATGTAAGTGTCATGTATTTTTTTGGAATTTCCCTTGAATTTTGAAATAATTTAGGATGAGAGTTGAAGGCCGTTGCCACAAAATTTCTGTTCGATCTTTGCTGACATCCACTATTACATGACTATAAGCAAATTGATTTATAAAGGCATTTGACTAAACGTCGTCGTGGATCGTCTCATCCCTACGCTGTATTACGAATAAATTTACCTGAATAGTGGAGTGCAAAACATGTCATTGACCTCGTCGGAATATGATTTTATAGCCCGTTCCGAAATTCAAAAAGGGACTGGTGACTAGTCACAAAGTCGATACCGTTTGAATTAATCAAATAACAGACACCAGGACAAGAAAGAACATACTAAAATTACAATTAAATTACAATTTACAATTTACGGTAAAGCTGCTGAGTTTAATTGTATTCGGATTAATGATTACAGAGTTTCAAGCGTTTAAAACTCAAAAAAATTACAAAGAATGTATGGAGTTTTTGAGCAGCGTCCCCAAAAGCCATACATTCTCTCTTATTTAATTACAAATTTGAAAAAATTAGTACTCGGTTAGTATTTAACTAAATATAACTTGACAAGAACACTTGTTTTAGTGTGGTCTTCATGTGGTGAGGTTCAGTTTTCGATTAATGTAATATTTTTACACTCGTTCCCAGTCTCCTTTTGAATTTCGGATTGGCCAATTGATTATAAACTTAAGTTGCTGCACAAGTTTTGTTCACTTTGAGCGTAAGGGACTGTGCCATACTTACTAGGAGGGGTGCCGTAAAACCAGAGGGGGGGCATTACATAAAACTGATGCCAAGATAGGGGGCTGAAAGTAAAATTATCTAATTGACAGAGGGGGCGCCTTAAGTTTTATTCAAAATTTTCATTATTTTTTTTTATCTTAAATTCAACGTAAATACCAACGATAATTGTAGAAAGTGACAAAAAACAACTTTAACTGACAATTAATATGATATTAATTGATATTACTTTTTCAGTTTCAAGAAGGTTTATCAACAACAATGATCATTTTTAACTCGAAGATTGCGAAGCAATGGAAGAGTTATTGGAGGGGGACGAGTCTGTCACTCACTAAATCACTCAGTCACTCACTTTCCTGTAAACTTGAGCCTGCGTTACTTCAGGATTATTCAGAACTATTAATTTATTCTCATTATTTTCTAGTAATTTACACATTAATTTGCCGTTACCGGTTTCCCTATTCTACATTTGATTATTCATTCATTTATTTTTTGGCAAAGAAAGAAATCTATAAAAATCTCAGACCTCTGATTTAGAAATCGAAAGCACTGCCAATGCCAATGTTACATAATTGCGGTTAGACTTGTCCTTTAACTGCAGTTGCTCGGTCCTGGTTGTCAAAAATCAAAGTTAAAAATTATTAGACTGTAACGAAAAAGAAATCTGCATTCATAAAATAATGTAAAATTCTATTTGAAAAGTAATTATAAGTTGACTCGACATACCGTTAAGTCACAAATGTCGAAGCAAGCAAAGAAGACTGGACGATCCTCCAATTCGTTTCGAAAATGATTGTACGAAGGTCCTGGCCTTTGCTTATCGAGAACCCAAGTTAATATTATGAAACAATGAAGACTCTGTCGTAGAATTTTCCAGCTCTACGCAGCTCGCAATCAAAGAGACTGTAGTCTTTCTTGTATTCCCTTATACATCGATGTCCAAACACTTCTGAATTAAATTTAAAACTTAAAGAATATGAATACATCTGCAACGCATCTGTTGTCTATAGATACTTATGCAAAATTTCTTTGCGTACTTACTTTGACAGTTTCTTTGTTATCTAGGTTGATTACTAAAATGACCACACTTATAATTCAACAAAAATGTACCAAAAACACAAATTTCTCTCTCTGACAGACTCAGATATTTTAAGAAATTGTCCCTTTTGCCTTGTTAAACCGGATACTATTTGACTGTTTCATGGTACACGTGATCAAAATTCTTGTTTGACACACTAAAACCAAGACTTTCAATGAAACATATTTCGTCTATTGACCTTTTCAATCATTGATACGTTTAAGCTTACAAACTCTTTGATGATCAAATTTTTAAGAAAATTTCTATTTGGCTGTTTGTTGAAGTTTCTATTGTTTGCTTCACTGATACAGAACTAATGTTTTATTAATTAGGTCTGTATCAGGAAAACGTTGAATGATAATTAGCCCCGCACTCCCCTGAAAATATTCAAAACCGCCCCCAACTTTTAGCTTGCTGCACATTTTGTCCAATATAAAGGTATTATCACGTGATTAGATTCTCAGTATATCATTGGCTAATGACATTATGAATTATTAATGAGTTTGATAATTAAGCATTAGAAGATATTTTCCGTGTTTCTATTCTCTGTTAGAAACACGCGGGATTGTTGGGAGAACACGAGAAAAGGTTTTGAATCACGAGCTGAAAGCGAGAAAATATCTTCTAACGCTTTTATAAAATAACAACATCAGATAATAACGAAGTTAAAGTAAGAAATTGCATTTAATACGTTCGATCGCAGGGCAAATTCTCTTAACATCGTCAAATCAAGCAATCGACCAATCAAAATACGCAATGTATTTCTAAACCTGGCGAGTTTGAGGCCGAGAAGAAATAGTTTTCTTTCGATGAAAAATTCGACTTCATTCTTGCAAAGTGTCAATACAAAGACCATAAGAAACGCTGATCAAGTCTAAAATTATTTAAAAGGGAATTTCAGAGTTCAGTTACATGCAAAAAGTCAGAAATTGTAAGCAAAAAGTCTCAAGCTTCAACTTCAAAGTGTGCTGTTTACACTTCAACGGTTATAATGAATTTCAACTTTGTCTATCTTGCAAGTCGAGAAAATACTGCCTATTTCGCTNTACGTTTCGGTCATTCGCCTTTCTTTAGCAAATATATTTGCGTTTGAGTTCAAAACGTTTTGAAAACGTTTTTTAGTTCACGAGACATTTTTCTAATATTCTTGAATATATTAATTTGTGTCACCCAATGGCAAAGATATATGGCTTGTATCCAACTCGATATCAACTTGACCATTTAGCCTCAAATAGTATCCTAATATTAATTTTAACCATGTCATTGTAAAAAAATGATCGAAAGTATTCAATTTTCTTTAATTCTCGGACCCTTTTAGTTAAGTAGCGTCCGCATCATATACGTGTACATACATTGTTTACCAAATGTCACACATTTGCAATCGCACTGATAATTCGAAATAACTACTCGCTCAAAGAACTCTAAACCTCACAAATATACGTAGTTTTGAATTCTCTAAAGGGATATGAATGTTATATTTCGGTACGATTATGAATTAAGCTTTCGGAATTCGAGACAAGGTCATTCAAGTCTTTATTATCAAGTGACTGCAAACGACGCATAGATGTTATTTCTTACCTTGTCGTTGAGTCAGAATCGGCGACGCGGTCCAATTCAATTATGTGATTGATACTCTAAAATTAGTATTTCTTAGTTGAGCTGAAATTTTAAGATCGGCTTTTTGCGATATCTCAATGTCAAAAACAACAGACTATGTTTTGCGTATCAGCTTGCAGTGTAAATACTGCTTTCCCATTGGCTGATTCATTAACCCTTGACGTCAAAATAGAACAATATGAAAATTTATGAAGGCATGATGAAATATCAACCATACTTTTTACACGTGCCCTGCTATGCAGATAACGTATAGAGAAATGCTGCTACTTTCTAGGTTATTATTTTCTTTTACAATGTTGAAAGTTTGGCTTCGGCACATCTTCGTAGCCAATCACATTGTGAATCATATATCCGGTAGCCAATCACATTACGTTGTGCTTGGTGCAACGACGTCAAAACACTAGAAGTAATGTTTAAAGTCCGACAATGAGGACTGGACGGGATTTCAAGTCCGCCGCAAGGGGAGACCTACGTAGCACGCAGTTGATGTAATGTATTCATAAAATGTAAATTGTATTCCATTGTTTCTCGTTCTATTGTATTATGTGTTTTGTATTATATCTTATGAATATATTACATCAACTGAGTGCTACGTAGGCTCTCCCGTCCGCGCAATTAGTTCCAGTCCGAGGCGTTAGCCGAGGACTGCTGGAATTAATTGCAAGGACTTGAAATCCCGTCCAGTCCGAATTGGAGGAACGACTTCTCATACTCATTAATTATTCGGGAGGGGAAAAAAGCGAAGGAAATACATATAACAGAAATATATTGATTTATTRCATCTCCACTAAGGTTTTCAGTTTTCAGAATTTTGAATACATGGAGCACCGTTTGTTGTTCTTCAATTCCCGGACGGCTTTCTGAAACAAAAGCTATTCAAATTGTCTTTGTGTGCCATTCTTGGCATTCCTAATGAGCCTAATCCATAAGATTTATATGTATGTTATCTTCCGAGCAATCGCATCAGAAACTCGGTCAGGTGGTATAATGTTATAAGACGGCGCATATAGACTGAACTGATAAGGGATCGAGTCGTGAGGCCAGTCATGTATCAAAGATCTTTTTTCACTAAATTAATGTTAAACTGATTACACCTTTTGCTGTTCATTAGCGCAAAACGTACACTCATTTGTGCCAAGCGGTGCTTCAATAACTTTTATTGTACTTTCTTGAACACCGTAAGCAACATCATTKGCGCGAAACGACTTTCAATAGCGATATTTGAATACGCACGAGCATTCAACAGTATMAATAGACAATCAACTGAAAGACTGGACAATCATTTGGGTGGAACGTTGTTTCATGTGCGCGCAATGAAAATTCCATAGCACCAATTGACAAACGGTTGCATTTATTGACAATCATTCAACCAAAAATGAAACTTCATTAGTGTTATTAGCATAAACATAGGCAATCTATAGGGCGTTTGGACAATCATAGCCATTCGAGAATACATTCTTTAGTGCGTTTTGGGGCTTTAAAAGTTTCATTCAAAATTTTCATAATTTTCGATGTCTCTCAAAATGCTGGAAATCGCATTTCCAAGCGTTATTTCTTTCAAATTTTGACAAAAAATTCATGAGATCTACACATGCGGTATTCCTGAATATTCTTTGAGTATATTTAAGTTTTCCTAAGTATGTCTGAGATTTTTAAGTTTGATTTTAGTATCGTTGAGTCTTCTTAGAGCTTTTGAATTTGCGGAACGACTTAGTGTTTGAGTCTACCGCGAACGGCATGCATTTGTAAGTTGGCTGAGCGTTTCAGCATATTCTTTTCTCGATCTTTGCAAAAAGCCTCCAAATCTAACGTCGAGCAATCGTAGAGWAGAAAGCACCACCACACCCATAGGCCACCCAACCATGTGACAAGTAAGGCAATACATGTAAAGCATTTTGGATGATTTGGTTGACCATGGACTTTACCATGGCATTACTGTGCTATTTAAGCAGGAAACTATGGGTATTTTTTTGACATTTTTTTTGGCATGGTGAGCACGTGATAGGCTGATATTATATTATTATGGTATATTTGACTCTGTGCTACCTGTGCCCTGGTAACTGCAAGAATGTGTGATTGGATCATGGGAAATTTAGTTCTCTGAGCATGCGCTTATCGTTTATTAGTTCAGTTACTTAAAGCACACGTCCTTGGTTATTAATAAGCAAATTTAGTAGTATCATAATAAGTCGTTAATGTGTTATTAGACGATGATGTGTTCTATTACACTGTGATGGTTATATCGTCTCCAATAAGAAAGAAGGCCGCCCAGTACTTTGGCTCCTCATATCTCTCTATTTCTCTCATTTCCTTCATTGCTTGCTGCAGACTCGCACTTGCACTCTCCCCATTCTTGAGATGAGAGTAGAATTTAATCATGAAGTACTTTGTGGCTGTGTCGTCAATGGCCCAAAGTGACGCTACAACAGCACGSGCTCCTGCAGCAAGAAAGGCGCGAGCAATCCCAACCACTCCTTCAGACCTGATGTCACCTTTACCGGTGTGACAACAGCTCAAAACAACCAGTTGAGCACGAATTCCGCCCTCCTGTGCTTCCTTCATAGTCAAGATGCTGCCCTTGTCATCCGATGGACACGAATTCGTCGAAGAGTTAGAAGGAGCCAGTAAGATCTGGCCATTTTTCTTGCTGCCGTGTGCAGCAAAGTGGATCACGGACACGCCTTGCTTTAGTTTCTCTAAAATTACTTCTTTTGTTGCTTGTCTTCCTATCAATGGTTGAACACCGAGGAGGTTACCAATCTCGACAGCTTCTTTMTCTGCACCAGGTAAATCACCTGTTGGATTTCCAATGATCAGCGCCCCTGACTTGAATTAATGAGACTTAAATCAACGATCATTATGATTGATATTTTTKGGGGGACTGGTATCCTAGGAATTGCACCAGGAGCTTCAAGAAATTTATGCCAAAAAAAGAAAATAATTGAAAAAGACATCATTGAGACTTTTAGTGCGGTATTTTCTGCACAGAAAACCAAAATCTGTTCTTAGCAATATTYTCTATAGAAATCATTATTTAAAGGAAGAATACATTTAACTCACTGTGCGTGGTCTCATCCACGTTTATTTATCAAAAATGCGGTTCCTGGCCGGGTTTCCAATCATTGGAAAAGAGTCAGAATAGAAATTTATCAAAATGGCGAAATTACACAGTCGACAAAAATGTGCATGGAGAAAAAAAAAAAAGGAAACACTAGATTGGATACTCGATTCAACCACTAAAAAAACGTTTTTTTGCAATTCTTTAGCGTTTATCTATAATTCCATAGTTGCACGGTACTTAATAAATGAGCATTGATGAAACCAATTTTTGTAAGGATTCTTATAGAAGAAGTATCAACATTGGAATTGATTAAGATTCTGCTTAATGCTTAAACGTGTAAAGAAAGCCTACCTTAGCATAATGTTCGTCTGAGGATTCCTGTAGAATTTTCAGCGTCGTCARGGAAGGAGCCAGGCGAATGCGCTTAGTCTCCGACAAGTACTTGCCGGTCTCTGGATCTCGAAGAGCAGGAAATGGCACCATGAACAGAGGACCGTCGGGGATGATGACCACCTCGTCCTGGGTCAGCTGGTTAATTACTGGAGAAAGAAGTCTACGGGACAGCACGTCTAGAGGCTCGATATCATCTTCATCGTCGGTTGAAGCGCACCATCTGTCTACCTTTCGAAAAACAGTGAGGGCAGTTACACTAAGCATTGAAGAGTTTGTAGTGGCTTCAAGCAATCCGTATTCATGCTCTAGTATGTTCATAGATTGATCATCACATTCTGTTCCGTCTCTTGGACGCATCTGGCGAAAGCTGTTGTCAACGAGATATTGAAAATATCCCGTCTTGATATTTCCTTTATCATCTTCAGACAGACCCAACACACTTGTTGCCAAAGTTTCTTGGTTGTCCATTTCATCATAAAAGAATGTTGATGGACTCTGTGATGATATCACCCAGCAATCATAAGTTACCTTGTTATCATGAAGATTGTAAAAAAGAAGGCAGCTTTCACGATACGAAGAAATTCTCTTGACATCTGCAAGTCCCAGATTTTTTGGTCCTGMTTTTTCAGTTGTTTTGTATTTTAGGAACAAGAGATCTCTCAAAGCACGTGCTCGCCCACGTTCACATACCATGAGCGCTTCTTCGATTTCTCCAGTTTTAATGTAGACTTGGCTAAGCACCTTGTAGGTTGTGATGAATGTATCGACAATGGAAACCTTGAATTGGTCATTGTCTTTTAAAGCATCAAACAATTTCTCGTAGGATTGTATGCTCCTCTTTAGGTATTTTTCTGACTTGTTGAGGTCTTTAATGCTGGTTTCTTCCTGATATGCAACACCTTAAAAATTTAGATTAGATTTTAGTATGTAAAAAGGGGTATTTATTTATAGTGTTATAATATTATGTATTATATATTTGAGGATGGACAACTATGGACTGCACAAAAGAAAGACAAAGAATTAAGACCCTTTTGTTGCAACGAATAAATCGCGTCTTTTGGACGCCTGGATATTTTCAGCAAAGCTAAGACCCCTTCTGTGATGTACTTTCTCATATATATTAAACAAATCGTTCTTATCATCTACAAAGTCCACAGCTAAATATTTTTTACAGATATCAATATGTAAGGCATATGTAATGTACATGTGTCTTCCAAGGATAGTGATAATATTGCATATACAATGTAAAATAATGTATCAAATATTGCTGCTAAGTCTTCGAATACTTTCGAGCTTAATACGTACCTATATTACGATAAGAAGATGCTTCACCATGTCTGTCAGTAATCGCTTTGGCAATGCTCAGACTCTTTTCATGGAACTCAACCGCCTTGTGATATTCTCCTAATGAATAATAGGTAATCCCTAAATTTCCATAAGTATCTCCTTCTCCTCTTTTATCATCTATTGCTTTGGCTATGCTCAGTCTCTTTTTGTTATACTCAATCGCCTTGTTATATTGTCCTAATGATCCATAGGCAATTCCTAAATTTCCATAAGTATCTCCTTCTCCTTGCTTGTCATCAATCTCTTTAGAAATGCTCAGCTTCCTTTCATTGTACTCAATCGCCTTGTGATATTTTCCTAATGATTGGTAGGCATTCCCTAGACTTCCATAAGTAGCTCCCTCTCCTCGTTTGTCACCAATCTCTTTAGCAATGGACAGCATTTTTTCATGACACTCAATTGCCTTGTGATATTCTCCTAATGATTGATAGGCATTTCCTAAATTTCCATAAGTATCTCCTACTCCTCGTTGGTCATCTATCGCTTTAACAATGTTTAGGCTCTTTTCAAGATACTGAATCGCGTTGTGATATTCTCCCAATGACTGATAGGCAACCCCTAAATTTCCATAAGCATTAGCTTCTCCTTGTTTGTTATTTATCGCTCTAGCAATTTGAAGGCTTTTTTCCTGGTATTCAATCGCCTTGTGATATTCTCCTAATGACTGATAGGCGACCCCTATATTTCCATAAGTAGCACCTTCTCCTTGTCTATCACCAATCTCTTTAGCAATGCTTAGACCCTTTTCATGGTATTTAATTGCGTTGTGATATTCTCCTAATGCTTTATAGGCATTCCCTAAACTTCCATAAGAAGCTCCTTCTCCTTTCCGGTCACCAATCTCTTTAGCAATACACAGTCTCTTTTCAAGATATTCAATCGCCTTGTGATATTCTCCCAATGGTTGATAGGCATTCCCTAAACTACCATAAGCCTTGGCTTCTCCTAGTTTGTCATCTATCGCTTTAGCAATGCTCAGTCTCTTTTCCTGATATTCAATCGCATTTTGAAATTCTCCTAATGAATTATAGGCAATCCCTAAATTTCCATAAGTATCYCCTTCTCCTCGTCTGTCGCCAATCTCTTTAGCTATGCTCAGTCTCTTTTTGTGATATTCAATCGCCTTGCGATATTCTCCTAGTGATTGATAGGCAATTCCCAAATTACCATAGCCATTTGCTTCTCCTTGTCTGTCGCCAATCTCCTTAGCAATTCTAAGCATTTTCTCATGATTCTCAATCGCATTGTGATAATGTCCTAATGATTCATAGGCATTGCCTAAACCTCCATAAGTAGCTCCCTCTCCTCGTTTGTCATCTATCGCTTTAGTTATACTCAGGTTTTTTTCAAAATACTCAATCGCCTTGTGATATTCTCCTAATAAATAGTAGACATTCCCTAAATTTCCATAAGCAGCGCCTTCTCCCTGTCTGTCACCAATCTCCTTGGCAATGCTCAGCCTTTTCCCGTTATATTTGATCGCTTTGTAGTATTGTCCTAATAGATAATAGGCATTCCCTATATTTCCATAAGCAGCGCCTTCTGCTTGTTTGTCGCTAATCTCTTTAGCAATGCTCAGTGCCTTTTCGTGATACTCGATCGCCTTGTGGTATTCTCCTAACGAGCAAYAGGCATTTCCTAAATTTCCATAAGTAGCACCTTCTCCTTGTCTGTCGCCAATCTCTTTTGCAATGGTCAGTATCTTCTCATGATATTCAACCGCTTTGTGGTATTCTCCTAATGATCGATAAGCAATCCCTAGATTTCCATAAGTAGCTCCTTCTCCTTGCCTGTCACCAATCTCTTTATCAATCCTCAGGCTCTTTTCATGATATTCGATCGCTTTATGATATTCTCCTAATGATATATACGCATTCCCTATATTACTATAAGCAGCTCCTTCTTCAAGTCTGTCACCAATCTCTTTAGCAATACTCAGGCTCTTTTCGTGATATTTGATTGATTTGCGATATTGCCCTATTGATTGATAGACATTTCCTAAATTTTGGTTAATATTTATCTCTAGTTCAATGAGATTTCCAGTTCCAGAAATGAAGGTAAGYATAGCCTCGTAAGACTGAATTGCTTTGGTTGGTTGATGAACACGACGATATAACACACCAAGTGCATCATAAATGTAGATAAGCGTTTTGGCATCAAATAGTAAAAGAGCCATCACCGAACATTCCTCTAATAAAGAGATCAGTTCTTCTCTTTTCGATTGCGAGAATTGTTTCGTTTCTTCATCATAAGCAAACCGCTGGATTGCATACGACACACAAAACTTGATAAACAGTTGTAGCATCTTCAAATCCATAGCAGTAAGATTTCTAAAACGTAAAGAAAGTTGAGGTGAAGTTATTTAGTAATGTTTTGTTGACTGAAATTGAATGTTGCGTAATTTAATCAGGAAATCTGAAGTAAAAACAGCTTTCAAAGAGATTTCAAAGTAGTGAAACAAAGTTTTACAGTCAAAGTGTATGGGACAAGGCCGAAAACTCGAGGCTGGCTGCACTTGTCTTCCGCTAGTTTATTTCGGATATCACAAAAAGCCTCATCAAATAATTGCTATTATTATATGGCTTAGATAGTACGCGCGCTCTGATTGGCTGTTGACAGATAATGATCGGTCGGAATTTTCCTGTAATGCCCGCTCACAGCGCTCATTATTTTTCGCGATTATATCAGCTTTGACTTTGAGTAAGACGAGAAAAAAACACACACACAATTTGAAACACATTGCAAAACAAAGATATCCTTTTAGTTCGTTTACGAAAAAAATAAATGTTTGCAAATTTTTTATTTGCAAAATGAGAGACGACGAAAACTACAGTGAAAGTGAATTTATTTTACATGTAAGTTATCCTGACGAGATTAGTGCGAAAGCCGACAAAATGGCTACCAAACAGACGAAAAYCATTATATTTTTAGTACCAAACCGACGAAAATGACGAAAATCATTATATTTTTAGTAATTGTCTGCAAAAATGCGGGAATAATGGCTCCTTATTTCATAGATTCAGTTAATTTCCATGCACAAATACATTATTACAGTCTACTCACAAACTTTTCAATGATTCTTCTATCGACAAGGCCGGTGTAGGTTTGTTTACATTAATTCTTCGAAGTGGATGTCCCTCAATATAGAATTACAATTTTCTTCTCTTTCTCCAGCAACCGAGGAGTTATTGCATTGAGCAATTGCAAAAGTAAACTTGATAGACGACGATTATGTCCCACGAAGTAACTTGAAAGTTTGCCTGTTTTCAGCTGTTTTCATTGAGAAAGCTTGGCATTTGAACGAGTTCACACTGACTCAAAATTCCTTCAACTGGACTTCCAGGTTTTTACTCTTTTTTCTAGTCAACGAGCTCATTGAATTTTTAAGAGGAGGATTTCATTCTCAGCTTTTTTTGTCAAGACACCGGTTTGAATCCCTTCGGCTTTTCACTTTTGTTTTGAGTAGAGTCTGTAGAGGAATGTTCTCTTTTGATCTTTTACATCTTGACACATCGTTTTTTTCTTCCAATACAATCCTTTTTGAGCTATCTTTAAATTATGGTGAATACTTATCGAGCATTTTTAAGCTGTCATTAGACTATGCTTGCCGTCTCAAGTAACCAGTTGAGTCAACCACTTCCCTCGCCGTTCATACATCAAATCCAAGTGCTTTAAGTAGCATTTTCGGTGGAGCTAACATCAGCAAAATATCCGACTGTCCGTTCAAAATTTTCAAATATACAGTCAAGATCCAACAACGGAAAAGACGACTTTATATCATCGAAAGTGACGATGAAAATTGAACATTGGCTAAAATCACTGCAAGTTCTGCACGTGTTGACGTTTTCAATCGTCTTAATTTTGACGTACTTTCCAACTATTTTTACAAACTTTTGGATGTTCTGAAACTTTTTAAGCTAAATAACCGTGTTTTGTGGAATAAAAACGGTTTTGTGACATAAATTGTGCTATATTAAACACATTTTCAAACAAATTGTTGTATGTTTTCGACAATGGACATGACATTGAATGAACAAATGCGCGCACAAGCGGAAGTGTTAAATCACACCGTTCTTTTATTTTGTTCACGTTATATATTTTATTTATTTTTTATTAAGAGAGCCATATAATAAATAACTTATTAACCTCGTCCGTTTGGTCATTACAGGGAAATCTCAGAACTCGGTCTTCTTTGTATGGACCTTGCTATCGCTCGGTCCATACTTCGAAGACCTCGGTCTGAGATTTCCCTGTTATGACCTCACTCTCGGTTAATAAKTAGTATATAATTGGCTCTTAATTATCCTTGTTTTTTTTCTCGTCTTTTTCTTATAAACGAGATGGAGTATAAAAATACGACTTACGATTTTATTGAGCGACTTCAAAAACTCCAACACTAATTTGAGATGGTAGATGGTAGCTATTATGCTAATGGAGCAAAATTGATAGGATAGGAGTGGTCAAAACAAGTAGGTGGTAACTCATTATCATAAATTTGTGGGCAATCTAATTATGCAACTTATTTGTGGGCAATCTACTTATGCAACTTATATGAGGACAATCTAATTATGCAACTTATATGAGGACTGGGTGATTGATTTGCGACCAGGCCTGCATATGAATTCGCCAAGGTTGTAAGCCAGTGNACAAGTCGTGCCGAATTTATTTACATAACTAAACAAAATTATTATAGAATTAAACCTTTAAGAATTGAATGCTCATATGAAACATTTTCCACCTTAAAKGCACACGTGTTTTTCAGAAGGGAATTTAGTCGAACTTTTTTCACGATGGAATTTTGTTTTGAGTAGTCGTTTCGACATAAACAGTCGCTATCAAGACATTACATGAAAAACCCCAGTCACCGTTCTAGCTCTMGTTGTAAGGTCAGAGCTAGTAAATGTGTAACTGGCCTGTTATATAACGTCAAATCGTCGAGCACGCTTGCGGCATATTGCCGAAAATGCGACAAAGAATGAACTACGACCGTTGTTTGTACCAAAAATAACAAACGCTTTAACTCTATTGGAATACGTGGACCTAAGCTGCTCTAGCTCTTCCAGTGATGTTGTAGATACTCAAAGCTTAGAGGAAACAAGAGCTAAGAAAAATGATTTGCAATGGTTCCTCCTAAGATACATTGGAGTTGAACGTCGCTTCAACGACCTTCTGAGGTCTTCGTGAAGTCGGTCATTGCTTCGCATTCAATGGAGAACCCGCGTAGAACACAGAACAATTATTTCTATCAGGGAGGGGAGTCTCGTGGTATTAAAGAAAAAGTTATTTGTATTTTTCATTTTTAAGATAAAATTCTCTTTCTATAACGATAAATATTTGATTGNGAATTTATTCCTAAGGGACTTCTCCCGGAATTGCCTCCTTCTAAGCACTATAACTTTCTTTCATTTCTATATCGTGTTTATCATAGTGCCATGCGGTCTTCATATTGAAGGTAAAATTGGCAAGTTTTAACATCCAAAGAATGCAATCGGTGCAATATTTTGCCTGTAGGTGCGAGTGGCTTGGCACTTAAAAAAAACTATGAAAACAGGAATGTCGGTTGCTCCCTGTCGAGTTTGAACCAGACTCCCATGATGCACATTGGCCGCGCAATTGACAAATCTAGGTTTGCTGTGCTTGGTGTCGAAAAGGGGGCTGTGGCTAGATCTGCAGAGGCTTCTACAAAACAAAAATGCAAAAACACTAAAGACCTGGAATGGCCAATTTCAAAAAACGTAGAATTTCGATTCGCAAAAGATGATTTCGACTCTAAAACTGGAGACGAAAAGACGTGATTCCCAGTCTTGTCGGTGTACCAAATAGTCGAAATCTGGGCATTCCTATTTTCCAGGGGTCCATTTTGCCCAAGTATCGCGCTTGTTGTGAAATCTTTTTAACTCTAAGATAGAGTTATATTACTAGCTGTTTTCATGGAGTACATTTGGTGGTTTACTTTTGCGATCTCGGAAACTTGTAATTTTTAGAAGTATCGTTCCTGCAGGAACGATAATCCCTAAAGCGGACGTTAAAGGGTTATCCAAAAAAATATTTTTTCACAATTTTTTAGACTTTTAGCTTCAAACCTTCCCAATCAAGTCAGTTTTGTTCATAACCTTATTTCTACAAAGTTTGAGCAAAGTCCAAGCACTTAGTGCAGAGCTAGGTGGGATTAACTTTGAAAAACCTGAATTTCGAGAATGGTCTTAAAATGGCCTGGAAACGAAGTATCAGGGGTGGTAATCTTTGAACATACTTATCACCAAAGAACTCTAGATAGTTGAGCATAGTCATATGTCAGTACGAAATTCGGAAGTGGTGTCAAAGTTGGTTGGGAGTGGCTGGTCAAGTGACTAGCCAAAAACCCTTAACCTAGTCCCAACTCTAA